AGAGGAGACACGTTTAACTGAAGATTTTGAAACAAACCACACTACACAGAGTTCACGTAATAAAACTACTGTCCACTCTGATAGTAGTTTTGACACCAGTCTTGAGGGGGAAGATAGTCTGTTGACTGGTGATAAACCATCTGCTAGTGATATAGCAGTAGTAGTTGTATAAACAATGTCAGTGTCTTTTTTTATTGTACTTAATGATAGTAATTCAATCAAAGTTATTGTATGGTTTAGAAATACTGAGGAAAATAAGGTAAAATTGTAGGTGCATGTATGTAAGGATGTTTTTGATCACCAGCAGCATTGCTCAAAATGTTGAATGATAAGTGATAATATCATCGATACTAGTTACCTGTGCAGTTAAAAAAAATGACTGAACATTTCACTGTGTTCCTGTTTAATTATTCTGTCTAATTATTATGGGGCAATATTAATAATATTAACCAGCAGGTTGATAGCTGGAGGCAGATACTGCATTTACAGGTACCTGATTCATAATTCGTATCCATGATTTCGACCTAATTTGCATATCTATACGTATTTGTTGTTAATATTAACTAGCAGGTTGAGGCAGATATTGCATTTATCTGATTCATAATCCATGATTGGGACCTAATTTGCATATCTGTTTTGTTTGGTTGTTTGCTGTTGCTCTCGTCACAAAAAACAGCAGTTTAAATGTTCCTTATAATGGGAATGTTTAATAGTGTAGATCAGTCAATTTCACATTTTACAAATTTCTGAAATGCACAATTTGTTCTGGTGTCTATGAACATCCATACATACAATAGGCCATGGCAGATATTTGTATACCGGTACTGGCAAATAAATAGTACAAGTCGCAAACGTATTCACCTAGCTTCCAACAGTCACAGATAAACACTGGATAGTGGAAATAAAATATATAATAGTGTCTCAGTTTTATGGCTATTAGGTATGTTATGAACATATTTGATTTTCTTATGTTGTTGAGTATAGTTGTCATTTCCATGTCCATGTCAGAGCATAGAGTTCCTTCATTCTTTTCATCTGGATTTTTTTTTTGTCAGTAGTCTAAAAAAAAATTTTACGATGAAAAGGTTTTCCGTCGTTTTTTTGTTCTTTCATCAGCTTCAAGCATTGACCACTGTCGGAAATATTATCATTTGCCTAAGATTGTGTATGATATAAATGAATGGCAATGCAAGCCTCATTGTACAGCCGGTGATTACAACATACAGGTGCATTCATTACTGTGGATGTTACCATGGAAACCAACTTTCCATTAGGCACCAACTGTTGTGCAATTGTGGAATATGGTACATTGTGTTCAATTCAGGGCTGTATCTCTCATATTTGTTGCAGGTTTGCGATGGTTTGACTGAATTGTACCATTCTGAGTTGGCACTGACACTAAGAAGTTGAGTTGTTCTGGAATTGTGCATGGGTGATTGTTGGAAAGGGTATGCCTCTGCCCCGTTGCAAAAACAAG